ATGCTGGTGGATAGCAAGCTGACAGGAAATAATTACAATCATAAAATGTAAATGAAGCATTCCAAGGATATTTTAAAAGTTCAGTTGCAAAGTACCATTTAGTAGTAAACGGCTATGAGACTCTAACAAAATATATTCCCTCGGAGCAGCCTTGAAAAGTGAGATGACTGTTTTTGGGCAAGTGTTCGGGAATTAAAATTATCCTGCAAAGCAGTATGAAATCATTGGCATATCATCTGAGTACGTGCATTCCAAGATCAGTAACTGAGACAGGAGTCCCCTAGAAGAGCTTTGAGAATTACTTAGGAGGTAAAATTGACAGGAAACAGTGACTGATGGATGTATAGACTGAGATAAAATGTACTGTCAAAGTTGATACCAAGGTTTCTGACTTGAGCAACTGGGTGATGATTGAAGTGCTCACTGAGACTTAGAACACAGGAGGAGTTCCAGATATGGTTGGAAAGGTAAGTTTGCTTTTAGTGTGTTGACTTTGAGATGTCTGTGAGGCATACAAGTGGAGATGGCCAGTTGAATACGTGTGTCTAAGACTCAAGATATAGATATGGGCTAAATAGATCCATCAGGGACTTGTCAATATAAAGATAGTAATGAATTGCAAATGAATGAACGAGATCCCCTGAAGGAGTGTGCTCAACGAAAGAAACAGGAGTAATAGGACAGAAACAATATTTGAGGAATGTGAAGATGTGAAAAGTTTTGAAAAAGTGAAAAAAAAATGGCCAGAGAGGTGAGAGGAAAACTAGTGAAGTATAACGGCCTAGAAATCAGGGGAAGAGAGATTTATTTTGTCAGATATATTTCGGAAACATAGTACTTTGTAGAAATCTAATGCTGTGGCTAACAATTTCTCTATGGAATATAAAGTATGTTCATGGCCTTACCAAACCATAAAGCCAAATCTAGATATTGTTTAGTGGCCAATATAGAGCTCTTTCTGTCCAGTTCTTATCAGAAATCAATATGAGAGAGAGATTATAAAGCATAGCTGCACACTGTTTTCCAGATTTCTCTTTGAAGATGTGATAATAGTGTTATCATTGAAAGCTTGTGGAATTTCTTCAGCTCTCTATTTTTTGAGAAGTCCATCTATACCTGGAAGAGATTATGCACAAAGGAAAAACTATTGTATAGATTATAGATAGTACTTACCTTTTTTTCTTCAAAATTGTATTTAAAGTTTTTGTTAGTCTTTATAATCTTGAAAAGAATCTTTGATAACTGTACAGAGGCTGTTCTCACCAGTGCCATCACCTGTCACTTCAGGATGTCAGCAGGATGACACCTCTTTTTAAAGTTCTTTCTCTTCCTCACAACTCTGAAAGAGAAGTGGCAACTTCTTCGAATATAAGTGTTTACTTTAGTTTAGATTCTCTGTGCTCTATCCTTACAGGGCTTTATTAATACATTAATCAATGTATGTATTTATTTGTTCAGTTAACATTTACCAAGTGTATGATGTTTCAGGAATTGTGCTTGAGCTAAAGACACAGAGAAGAACAAAACAGGAACCGTCGCTGCACTCATGGAGAATGGCAAAATCTGTGACAAGAAAAGAGCTGCCATATCACAATGTGTTTCTGTCTCACCAACACTTATAATTGATACCCTGAGAGATAAAAGCATTGCACAATGTTTTTATAACTTATCTAGATTTAGAATGAGTACCTTAGGATAGTACATATCCCCCATAAATATTGTAGTCTTGGCTTTGGTAATAGTCCCCATCCACGCCTTAGCTCCCTACATCCCTTCAGCCTTCGTCTTTCTCCTCTACTTTTGGGACTAAGTTGAGTTACATTGCATGAACTGAATTGTCCTCTGCATTTTAATGTACTATATCCACATTCTCTCTCCTTGTTAGAAGAGTAATGGGAATAGAGGGAAAGCCAGACAAGTGTCTAAAGACAGGATTGGTTTCTTTGGGTTCAAAACTAAAGTAAAGAATTACTATATAAAGCGCAAAAAAGTCCAAAGAGGCAACTGAGCAAATTACAGACAACTAGTGAACTCCAGGGTTTAAATCCTTGGCAAAGCAACCAGAAGTTTCAAATCTGGAATTCAAGTCTAGTAAGATCAGTCTGAGAACAGAGCAAGGATTAGTTCAGGATGGAAACCGAACTATTTGTGTAAGAACAAGAGAATACTCAGAGCTCGCCTTTTGCACTAGCTGATGTATGGTGAATGGAATATATAACAGGCTGACTTAAAGTACCAGGAATCCGGTAGGGAAATTAAGATGTTGACCATGCATTTATGCTTTGTTTTTCCTCAGTGTCTTTATGTTAGTGTTATATTACTGATAGCTAGTGTTGGCAATGTCATCCATTCACTGCCTCTGTAGCTACTGATTTATGCAATGCATACATATTTACCAGTAATTCTGATAGTTGTAAATAAGGACATTGTTCTGTGGTGGGGTTGAAGAGGAATCCCTCAATATGGTTATGTAGGTTGTGCAGTGAAACATTCAATAGATGTGAATGATGCTCTCTCTAGTTGAGTGATGTCCTGGTCCTGATGTTGGTGACATTTTGTCATACGGCTTCTTGTAGTTGCTCTGAATTTTTCAGAGTCTTCCATTTAGCTATTTAGGAGAGAAAAAAAAATACTAGCTTCTTCTTTAAGAAACCTATTGCTTCCCTCTTTTCATTATTCACTTTGTTTCCTGGTATGCATACAAATTAATGTGTTTCTTTCTATCCTCCGTACTTTAAAAGACTGTTCATAGTTTTGTAATGTTTAAATAGCAAAAACGATAACACTTATACTCATACACACTATATTTAATGGTTTATTTAAGAAGTAGACAATAGTTGATTATTCAAACAGGTTATAATGTATGCTTGTTATCAAAAGAAAGCATTTTGGGGGATATAATTTCTTAAAATTATGTCAGAACACAAAAATAGGAATAGTCAAAAATATTTTAATATAGTTAGATCCTAACAAATTTGTTTTTACAAAGTTGTACAATAGTATACCTTTTCACTTGTAATTGGCTTCACTTTGTACAGCCCAACTAGGATATTTAATTCTGATATGATGTATCAATTCTCCTCATATTTAATTTCCATTTAATATTGCCTTTAATTTGTAATTCAAGTTTTACTTTAAAAATTCTTGGATGTGAATAAAGATTTTGTCTTCCCTATCTTTTTTTTTTTTCAGGGAGAGATTTGCCCTGAGCTAACATCTGTTGCCAATCTCAATCTTTTTTTTTTTCCCCTCCCTGAAGCCCCGTTACATGGTTGTATTTCCTACTTGTAAGTTATTCTAGTTCTTCTATGTGGGATGCCACCACAGCATGGCTACTGACAGATGGGTGGTGTGATTCTGCGACCAGGAAGTGAACCGTGGCCACCTAAGCAGTGAGCGCTGAACTTTAACCTCCAGGCCATGAGGGCTGGCTCCTCTGTATTTTTCAATAGTTTTCACAGACACGTTTACCTGGATTATCTTTATTGTAAGGGTGAAATTAAGAGCAAAAGAAGGGAACAATGGAAAATCAGTATTATATTTGTGTATTAGAATCAAAGCAGGCCACAAGTTTGAGCTAAGAAAATGATTGTAAAATCAGATTTTAAGAATATGGACTTTGAAGACAACTGTTGCTTTTGTCAGCTTACCTCTGTATACCTGAAATAGCATATCAGCCAACCACCATGTTGGAAGTATAGCTCTCTCCTGTCTACGATGTGTGATCAGCCAAATAAATGGAGAGGTGACTTAATCATATTCTAAACATTCCAGGTTTCCATTAACAAAGTTACAGTTACCTGGAGGGCAGATAGTGTGGCAATTGATATAGACTCAGAGAATCTACAGAAAAAAAAATTGTTTTAATTGAGATGGATTTAGATTTGGAGCACCACAACTAAATTTCATTTTGTTTTATTCAGATAAAATTGAATCTTCTTACTAGATTTCTAACTTCTGCATTACAATAGTTTTGGCAACACAGTAAGATGAAAGCAGCAAATAAGACTGGTTTTTGAAAACACATCATTTAATGGAATTGTTTCATTTTCCAATTCTCTTTGGTATGCATTGAAATGTGATTTTTCAAGGCCTGTGCAATGAAGGAGAAGGGTCCCCCTCTTGAAATTCTCATAGGTCCATTCTTCCTTTGCCATATCTCTGATAGTCAATATCCTTCCTGCCCAATGATTCTCTGCTTTCAAATAAATAAAAATTCTATTATTTCAGAAAGTAGTCCCTTTTCCCAAATCTCATTCATTTAGAGACATTCTTTCATCTGTGATTTTCCTTACATTTTTAATCTACTGTTATTTTTAGTCAAATAGAATGTTTTCCTTGGAATATTAACAATTAAAGATAATTTAGTTTGTTTTTATGACCACTTAACTCTTAGTTTGAGTCATAAAGTTTTTTTCTGAGGTTTATTGGGTAGGTTATATATTGTGTATAATGTATCTCTCTTGGAAACATTAATAACTTTGGAAACTGAAATACAGCAATGGTTTAATATATCTTTACGCTCTTCTCAAGCCATCTGACTTGAAACCTTGAGAACAAGTATGAGATTTCCCCAAAAGAAAAGTAACATTTAGTTAGGTTAAGTGTCAAATTGCTAGCTTACGCTGTATAAAAGTCAATATGTACCAAGTCATAATAGTGAATTTCATCTACAGTGCTAGGAGGTTGTTGAACTCAATTACAGAAATGTGCAGAGCTCTATTTGATGTGTGACGAGGTTAGGAGACCACAATCAATTAAAAAGAACACATGTATATCCTGTTCTGGGGAAACTGTTGTTATAGTATCCTTGTTCAGTTTCTGCTTTTTTCTCTGACTTTTCCTCTGAACAGAAGAGAACAAAGGGTTTAATAATTCCCCAGTTTCATGTGGAATTGTTTTGTCTGCAATATCTAATAGGAAGACGTGAGATTGTTGTTTTACTTGAATGAAGCCTCAGGCAGCTACAATTAAACATGCTATAACTTTTATTCTTGTAGCAAAACCGTTTGAAAATGGACAATATTTGGACATTTATGGAATTACAAGGGACCAGGCTGGAGAATATGAATGCAGTGCGGAAAATGATGTGTCATTCCCAGACGTGAAAAAAGTCAAAATTGTCGTAAACTGTAAGTCCCGTCACCTTTTATCAACGTAACTTCAGAGAAAAGAGAAAACATCTGAAAAATTCTGTCTGAAATTTGTGTGGCTGTTTTTTAAGCGGTGGTTTATTGATAAAGACCACCTACTGACAACGAAAATGTGTATATGTTAGAATAGTGTTCAACTGTTTTATGTAACATCAGTTGTCCCAAGTAATCCCACGGAAATTCAGTATGATGTACAGATGGAAATGTTTCCAATAGCATCCTACTCCCTGGCATTCTAAGCTATGGTATCCTTATCTCAAAAGCACTGTAGACACATGATGTTTTCTTCATTCTCATGGGTTTCACCTGGAGTGTATTCCCACTAAATTTAAGTGTGAAGTTCCCAGTCAAACCTGATGGAAATGAAGTGTGCTATTCTGCACTCATAGATGAGATCAGTTGCTGTGATGCTCCTTTTACTTGGTCATTTAACCATATTTAATTTGGAAAATATTGAGAAAATGAAGAAATAATTTTCCCTGAGCGTCGTTATTAAAAAGTTAGTATATTAAGAGAACTGCAGAACCATTAATGACATTATGTTACACCCTTTCTCTAAATGCATCCCAAACACTGATGTAAGATATGTTTTCATTAACATCCTATTTTACATCTTGTGATCTCAATAGCAATGACTGCAGTAGTCTGTACTTTTCAAAAATATCCCTTAGTCTTTCAAAAATTTTCACATTGTTTATCTTATCCAAATAAAATACTTTTGGGATAATAATATTTTACCAAAAGTGTTTATAAGCTACAGCTTCTAATTTTTTTGGTTCCATTTATACATCTTTGTATATATGGCCATTGTTAATAATGCATATGTAGTATTATCCCATAGATCAGAAGAAATTGTTCCAAACAGATCCCCAAATGCTAAAACTAAGCAGTTTTCTCACATTACTATGAATCTTTCAGTTTCACGGCCAAAAAAAAATAACTATCAGAACACTCCTGGCAGTTGAGGGTCTGCCAGGGCAAGTCGCTGCCGTCCACTAACATTTATCAGTGACTAATTTATACATCTGGGTTGAACTATCTATGAGACTGAGCAGATGTGCAGAGTACCAGATCAGGAGGCAGTTTCTGGAGCAGAGTTTCTCATATAGTGTTTTGGATATAAACTTCAGCAGATTCACCCACGAAGCTTATTGAAAATGGGAGATTTCTGTGCTGCACGTCAGCCCTATTGAATCAAAATCCTTGAGGTATATGGCCTAGAAATATGCATTTTTGGTAAGTTTTCATTGATTCTCAGGACTCCTGATGCAGATGGTTCTGCTCATCCTTTGGAACTCTCTGAAATAAGCAAGTAAAAATTCCTGCTCATTTCATCATGAACCATCCGTATCTCAACATGAGTCTCCTGATTTTATTGTTGAGGGGCTTGGTAAGGGAGATGAAAAATCGGACAACTAAACAAGTGATTTTTTTAGCAGTGAGCACTAAGAAATGAAAAGGCAGTCAAACTGTCAATGAGCAAGGTGCCCAGCCTGGCAATGCTGCCCACTCTCAAACCCCAGACCCAGCAGCCCTAAGATGATGTCTCTGATGGGGTAGGCTTGAAAACTCAGCTGCTGTATGGATTCTCAGGAGCTCATACTCCACGTATAATCCACCCTTCCCTTTGTATTCACACACTCTTTTTTATCCTTTTTATCCCTCTGCCTTTAGTTCATTGTCATATTATTCAATCAGGTTCTATTTTTTCCTGGACAAGTGGGAGGGACCTTAGACTGAGAAAGGCCAAATAGGGAGGAAGCAACTTGGAGAGAAACTGAATTGGAAGAAAATTTAGATGACCAACCAAATGAGTCATCATCCGCAGGATCTGGATGGAGAAGAGAATCCATATATAAAGCAGAAAGACAGAAACTAGAGAAACAAGACGTCAAGAACTGTGAAGGATCTGCCACTTTCATGGATGCTGGCAGAAGACAGAGACAAAGGGCAGTATATTAGTCATAGCAAGAGCAGTAGCCAGAGTATTGTCATTTTCCTGCATCAGTTCCCCAAGCCCCAATTACTGCAGGGTGATACGAGGAGGGCTAAGTGACATCTACACACACAGTGCATTTATGTCATAACTGAGGCTCCCTGAGCTTAAGAAACTCAATTTTTTAAATAATGGCAGCAAGCAAACTTGCCCTTGGCTGCAAGGGGAGAAATTATCTTTATTATTCTGGACTGTAAACAAACTTGCCCTTTGCTCCATAGGGAGAACCACTTCTTCTGTCTTCCAAGACTGTTCGCTATACAAACATTTTTCAAAAAGATGGTGAGAAACAAAAGCTGTCAGTGCCTCTGCTCGCAAAGATATGCAGAAACACAACAGACCCATGGAGAACTGTCTTCCAACACAGGATGGGAGCAGGGAAGTTTGAAGCACAGCTTAGAGACATCCCATCAGCTGAGAAGGGGGCTTCAGGGCCTTTTGTAGGGTGTCAGACATCTAAGAATAAGTAGGAAGGAAGACTTTGTTACTAACTTTAACTTAAGAAGGGAAATAGGAAGGAAAAAGGGGAAAGTAAAAAAAAAAAATGGAGGTACTTTTAAAATCATAACACAGACTATCTTTTTTGAGAACTAATTTCAAAGTACAGTCATAAGTGAAAATATTGGTTTCAACACAATATTAACATAGCTCACATTTAAAAGATGGACCTAGGAGGATTTTTGCAGTTATTTTAGAAAATGATTTTGTTTTCTACTCCTCCCCAAATTATACCTTTGATATTTTCTATTTTCTTAAATGTTCTGTGAAGAATTACGTTTAATACTGATTGAAGAATCACATTCACGTCTTTTGAATCAGTATTTTATGTAAAAGATGAGTTTTGCTCAGACTTCTGGTCAAGACGTAAATTCTGCCTTAGGCCGGAATAGTTATGTCACACATATACCAGTGAAATCTAAGCTGTTTAGGTATGTGAGTGTGAGTATGTGTGTATATGTTCCTGGTTATGAGGAAGTGTGGAAAGTGTTAATTTTGTGAATTTGGCCCTTTAAAACTCAAAAATTGAGCACTCTCTATAGATTTTACTGGGCTGATTTCCCAAAGGAAATTAGCCAAAGCTTACTGAACAAACTTTAGTTTGTCAAATCCCCAAATTGAGTACAATGGTCCATGTCATTGGCATGGAACCGCACATCCCCTGAGGACCAGAAGATTCCCTGAAGATAGAATCGTGCCAGGTTCAAGGCGGCCTTTCTTTTCATTGTTATTAATCAATAGTGATGGTGCATATAGAATTGCAGTAACTTTATGAGTTATAATTTCAAGAGAAACTGTCCCATTTCCCAAATGGGGTTCAAGATGAAATGTGATAAATTTTCATAAGCTCTGGTAGATTCAGTTATACAGTAAGTCAACTTGAGGAGACTTAGGTTCCCCATCAGTTAGAAATGTTTAATGTTTTAATATTCATCTACCACATCACCATATTCACTATATAAATATATATATATGTATAAAATACATACCATACATAACATCATATTTGACACATGCTTTGTACTTACAGCACTTTGTTGTGGATTTCTATTCAATTTTATTCATCAGCAGTTTAGTGAAATGATTGGTATAATTGACTTATTTTATATAGTTTGGGCTAGTTGGTTGAATAAATCAGTTTATTTGAGTTATTTACAGGAAGTTTTGCTACAGGTAGGAAGAAATTTGTAGGCTAGTTAGATTCTATGCGAGGGCTTCTTTCTTAGTAGGGAGATTTTGTAGGTGATTATTCTTGTCTTTATCTGTACTTACTTTTATTATTTTATATATATATATAAATTTCTTTATATAAGTATACACACATACCTACCCTCATATATAAATATATATATATTTCTTGTCAAATTGAAAAACAAACTAAAATAATTAAAAGGAATCATGACAGTTATCATAACCAAAACTTGAGAAATTAATACACATACATAAACGTAACAAGAGAGAAAAAAATTTGAGGCCAGTTGATTAGGTAAGCCAGAGGGAGCCAGTGGATTAGAGTTGGACAGATTCTCTGTTTTTTTTGCATTTGTATTCCATCCATAGAAGTGGCCTAGAGGATACCAGTCTCATAATTTTTATAGTTAATTAGAAAATGGAAGAATGAATGAGTTCCAGACAGCCCATGGGTTCAACTGAATTGAGAAAAACAGGAACCCATGAAGGTCTCATTAGGAAAGGAGAAACCAGAGTCTAGAAAATCAGCAAAGTTGACTCACTGAAAGAAAAATCTAGAATCTGGAAAATTTAGAAAGTATCATAGGCTAAGCAAGTAATGTAGATGTCTATAGGAAGGTAGAACCCAGAATCAGCTGAGCCTGCAAGACCTAGCCCTTCAAAATGAACCCTGCCAGTAAAAGGCAGGGGGTTCTCAGAGCTGATGACAGAGGCTGTCTGCTCTCCACCGATTTATATGTATTCTTCCAGTGAGGAGTAACTGTTTTGGAAACGTAGGCCTTATAGTCAGATATAACTTATTTGAACTGCTGTTGTGTAATTTACTGGGCTTTGAGACCTTGGGGAACCACTTTACCTCTCTGAGTCCAATTCTGTAAATTTAGGGCAATAATGCATAATTTTCAGGATTTCGGTAAGGATTAAATGAGATGATACATATAGCATCTATGATAGTGCCTGGCTCACTGTAGGTAACTGAAAAAAATCTCTCTCTCCCAGGACAATAAGTAAATGGTATGTTGACTAATGTACTTCCAATACCATATTTTTAACCAATTATTTCAGGTGGATTCAATACAGATAACCTGACATTTATATAGTGCTTCAAGCCAGAGATTGGAAGCACTAATTCTATTTATTTTAAAGATAAGAAAATTGAGGTTCAAAGAGATTAAAACAATTAATAGTGTTCTTGATTTTCAAGAACAAAACAGACGTGAATAAAGGAAGTTATGAATTAACCAGATAAAATATAGAGTCAACTAGATTAAGGTAAAAAAATGTGTAGACATTA